TCCAAAACCAGCCTAATATTGTTATGAATTAGTCTTCCTTTCAAAAAACCTGATTGTGTTTCACTGATAATGTTTGACATGCCTTTCTTTAGCCTCTCAGCTACAGGTCCAGACAGGATCTTATATGAATGTGAATTCTCCTGGACTGTAGCCAGCTCCACATGTCAGTCCAGATGTTAGCAGAGCGATGCTACTGTGAACCAAGGAGCTATTGTCTTGATGTGTACGGAGCCCCGCAGGGGACATGGGAGAAAAAAAATTAAGACGGACTTTTGCGAGATCTCGCAAAACAAACTCGGGATCTCGCAAAACTTTTTGAGATCTGGCAAAAGTTGAATTCCAACAATAGCAGCTACTTAGTTGTAATATTACTCTTTCTGGGTCACAAAATACACTTTTAAGATATTTTGAGGCGTGAATGTAGTTGTGTAAACGTCAGATATCTGCTCGGTTTACAAGACATCACATATTTGCAAAAGTGCTCCGACGTTTTCGGAGATGTATGAAAGTTTTGTGAGATCTCGCAAAAGTCCGTCTTAATTTTTTTTTCCTCCCATGTCCCCTGCGGGGCTCCGTATGATGTGAGCTTCTACTCAGGGTTTTTTCTTCCAGTTCAGAGCAGAAATGTTTTTGTTAAGATACTGGATGTTGTGTTTTTCTCCACAATTTTAATTATAAGCTAGATATATTTCTACTAATGAAATTAGTTTGCTAACAGCAACAGGGATGAGTCAGTGAGTCAGTTGGGCTTGTGAATCATGATTCATGGGTCAATAAAGTGATTCTCGAGTACTGAACGATTGATTCGCGCATCACTACATATCAGTGCTGGCTCTTTACGGCTCAGAGCTGTTCATGAAAAGAAGCACATTTCATTGGTAGAAGTCTTTTTCCCACTGTTACGGCATGCTGCACTTTATTCGTGACTTTAAAACTGACCACAGACATTTTCTGTATGAAAACAAATTTTACTGGACGGTTTTTACATGTTTGGATCTTTTTGTTTGGGTAAAAACAAAAAGAGTCATATTCAGAGGGTAATAAGATCCTGTGTTTCGTCTTTAAATGGAGTTGAAAATTGTTTGAAAAGGGTTAACTTTGGTTTTTAGTGATTTCAGAGGAGGGGAACGACACCCAGGTAATCACATACCATTTATTTTAAAATTATTAAGAAAATAAGCGTGGATAGACCGTGTTCCATTAAGTTAAGTGTTTTACTTTGTGCTTGTGGAACAAAATTCCATGTAATCGAATTACTTAAAGCCCCCTAAGTCACAGCTCGATGTAAACAACTTCCTGTAGAACAAAAACAGCTGTTCTGATCCAGGTCGATGATTATCAGGACAGCTGGATTACTGCAGGCGTAAAACAGCCAGAAGCATCACAGCCTGTTCCAACAAAACCAGTGTGATAAACCAGAGTGGAAGACCCTCTGTTATAGAAGAGTACACACACACACACCTTCCTCGCTGGCTGTTGGTGGAAAGAGTGAGATCACCAGGTGAGTCTCGGCCTGTACAGGTGGTGTTCGGTGTCAGAGGCCACGCTGCAACTTTAGAGCTTCAGTTCATCAGACGCACTGTTGTGAGTGGCGTGCACGTGTTTGTTGGCGGTGGACTGAACGCGCTGCACTGTCTGGACATTTGACAGCGAGCCAATCAGCACACTGCAATAACTGCCCCTCCCCCTCCTCCATGTGCACAGACTTCATTAGGTGAGCAGGAAGTGGGACTGGATAAAGGAGCTTTTTAAAAGAGAACATGACTGGAAAAGTGAAGTCTCGGGTTTAGGGTTTGCGGTCCCGCCATCACTTCCTGCTCCGATGATCATGTCCAACGTCCACGGCTGCAGATCAGATCTCACCTGTGAATATTTTACAGGAGGATTCATCAGGCGACAGAGGCAGCTGAGAAATGCATTTATTTAAATTCAAGTAGATTTTATCAGAGACGGGACAATAAACCGAAAACTCCGACATCAGGCCTCACATACAGCTGCAAAAAACTGCAAAAATAAATAAATAAATAATAATAATAATAATAATGCTTTAGGGGCATTTTAAAGACATCCTGTGGGGCTGTGCCAAACTTGCAGTTCCTCTGATGTCCAGCAGGGGCTCCAGCAGCGAGTCAGTCTCATAGACTCCCATGTTAAAACTTTACTGCAGTTATTATCATTCAAGAATCAACTGTAATTATAAATTGACTGAATCCATTCTGGCTTGTTTCTTTTCTGAGGTTAAACCTGCACCTAAAATATTTACTGTGACGTCTGATTTCAGTTTTAATCAGTTTTTAATGTGTTTATTGATTTATGTTAATCTGATGCTGTAAAAGCCTCCAGCCCTGTGCAAACGTCAGTTTCCTTTCTGCGCTTCTTTAAAGGCTCTGTGTTTGTGCACTGGTGATGGGTGGCTCTTCGTCTGCAGTGAATGAGCTGATGAAGAGTCTGAGTCCTCGCCGGCCTGCCATGGAGTACTGTTACAGATCAGGTGACTCCTCGGGGCTGAGCTGGGACGTGGGTGAAGGAGGCGCCCGTCTCTCGGAGCGTTTAAAAGAAGGTGGAGGGCTCGCGTCCGATCCATCTGCTGAGCCAACAGTAAACAGGAGCGATGAGAAGTTCGGATGCAGCCGTGCACAGACAACACGATCGGTTTCATCTAAAGAGGAGCGGGAAGTCCGGGCGCCAGGGTGTGCCTATCAGCGAGGAGACGAGTCAGACTCTGGAGATTAGTGTCCGGCGGATCAACAGATCATCTTCTAACCTTCACACCGTGAGCAGGTTAAACACGGGTCAGTGGTCATCACAGATGGGCCAGTCTGAGCTGAAACAAGCTGCTAACATCCCTCTGCCGCCCATCAGGGGCTGCAGACCCGGCAGAGGAGAAGTCCCTGCAGCTCCGCCTGCCATCAGAAATACGATCCTTCATGTGTTTGTGGCAAAGCGGGGGAAACCAATCCAACAGTCAGACAGACTCAGCGAAATCCACAGCAGACCGGCACTCGCTGAGCGGCTGGAACAGCAGAAGAAGAGCGATGACATCACTGGTGTTCACGGTGGCTGTACGACAACGATGCCGGTCATAGTTAAAGATGACGGCGGTGCCTGTGAGGAGCGGCAACGGCAGAGAGAGTTCTGCTCCGATGACTCAGCTGCTGAAACATCATCTGAGGACTCAGAGGTCAGAGGTCACGCAGAGACACTGGAGGAGGACGATGGCGGTGATGACGAGTACTACAGCGAGCAGAGGATCACAGAGTGGATCCTCCAGGTCAACTCGAGCCTCTTCTCTACAGGGAAAACTCAGAGAGGCACCGAGCCTGCAGAGGAGCGCGACGTGGCCACCATAAAGATCATCTACAGTGGGGACTGAACTCCCAGCTCAGCCTCCTCCTCCTTTCACAGGACGCTCACAACCAGGGAGGAGCCCGAGGTCCTCGAGGAGCAACGCTGGCAAAAATAACAGAAAACGTTTCAGCAAATAGAACAGCTGTAATCTGGGACACTGGTGATACCGGCTCCAATTCACTTTAATTCAAATAATTTCATGTATATAAACAAATAACTGTGTAATTACATGAGTAATTTAAACTTGGTACTGTGGCCCACCTGCAGTACCATCGCAGCCCACCGGGGGGGCACAGTGCATTAATTTAAATCAAATGTAATCAACCTGGACGAGTGTCAGCAGATCCTTTCAGATCTCACCGAGGCTTCGCTCCGACCGATGTTCTTCATCAGAAACAGAGCTTTTGATTGGTCAGTGACGTCCTGGGCTGAACGTTTCTCTGTAGCTTCTGCGCAGGTTAAATTCCCACAATCCTGTTCTGTGCGAAACCAGAGAGCAGGAGCATAAATCCTGCATACATGGGGCATAAATCAGTTCTATTAAATATTATTTATATAGCGTTAAATGAACATCAGCTTTTATTCACGGAGGCTCAAACGAGAGACTAACCCGGCTCGGTCATTCTCACCAGATTGTCTCGATGGGCGGGGTTAGTGCTGATGACTCAAACTGCGATCTTGTCCTAATCCCAACAATACGAAGTTAAAAAGACCGAAGTTAAGTAGCAGATAAAAAATAACTGTCTGTTATCTACGTTCACTTAATCCTAACATCAGCCTGTTTCAAATGGCTGAGTTCACCCAGGGTCTAACCTGTACGTTCAAGGGGCGGGGCTAGCAGCATCTGACCAATCAGAAACATGGATAAATGTGCTCACAGCAGAGCAGCTGATTTCACAAAGGAGGACCGGTGTGTGTGTGTAAACACTGCTGTATTAATAAAGTTTAGCCTGTTTGAAGCCGACTGTGTGACAGAACAGACTGATTCATATCACAGTTCTGTCTCGACGATCGAGTGTTTCATTAATGTGTTAAAGACGGTCTTAGCTTTTATCCTCTGAGCTGCAGACTCGGTGGAGTTTAACACTGAGAGGAAAGAATAAAACCTCTTTAAACGCTGACAGAACAAAAACTGCTGAACAGCTCAGAGGGAGTATGACGCTAATTTCCAGAGATCTGATTGGTCAGTTATTTCATACCTGCTGATCTGTAATCTAGAAACTCCCCTACTCCTGGGCAACATCAGTTGCCATGATGATAAACCCTAATAAGAAGGATCCGCCTTCACAGTACAGGAAACCCAGAGCTAATCCTGGAAAAAGAGAAATCCTGCCTAATAGTGCAGACCTTAGGGTGACATTATGACTCCGCCCCTCCGACCTGACGTGGATGCTGTGGGTTTGTAAAGGAGGACAAAACAGAAACAGATAACTTATTTTTAGAACCGGGGGTCTGAAGGTGCACACTCAGAGGACAGCTTCCTGCTCCGTCCCGACTCTAACGCCACCAAGGTTTCCAGAATAAACTTCCGTTGTACTTCAGTCACACCTGAGAGCAGCAACTGAGACCGTAAACTCATCAGGAAGGTGTTCACGGAGCTCAGGTGAGCTGGACGCTCAATTCTGTTACACTTCTATCCAATCAGGCCTCAGAGAGGTCGCCCCCTGCTGGATGTTAGACAGAGCGCAGGTTGAGTTTGGCACCTGAGTTTGTTTAAAGCTGCTCTGTGATTGGAGGACATGGTGAGGTCAATGTCACGGCTCCACTCAGAGGTCATCCAGCTGCAGCTCTGGCGGTACCGGGTCACCTGATCGTATCGGTAGTTGGAGGGGATTCAGAATGCACGCGCATGCACACACCGGTCCTCCTCCAGAGGTGCAGCACCCCCTCCCCCTCCACCCCCCAGCCTCTGTATGCGCCGTCACAGTGCAGACAGAGGTTGTAAACATGGCGGCGGACGGGATGGTGCTCACCAACCACGACCATCAGACCCGCGTGGGGATCCTCACAGGTAAGGACACCGTGTCATCACATGCGCTAAAACGCCTCTGGGCAGCGTACCTGTGCGCCGTTTTGTGCCCGGCTCCCTGCGCAAGTCGGTGTCACGATACGGGCTGTCTCCGCTGCAGAGCGGGCTAACGTTAGCCGCATGCTAACCGGGATCCCCGAGAGCCGCGCGGCTGCTGGCGCACAGGTGCGCGTTTTGCGCTAAAGAGCGGGATTAACGTGTTTGTGTGTGACTGCGGATTAACGTGTGAGCACCGGCTGCACCTGTCAGCGAAACTGCGGCGCTCAGAGGTGTTTTATTCGCCGTGAAGCGGCCGGGAGAAGGGCCGGGGAGCTCTTTCAAAATGCGAGACGAGCTGTGCGTGCTACAGTGAGTGTCTACCAGAAGCCGTGCTTTTATTTTGGAGGTAACCCCGCGGTGTTCCGGTGTTAGTGGCTAGCTTGCAGGTGGTATTTTGAGCAGTGTGCCGTTACGGAGCCGACATGAGCTGCATTATTCATGTCCCTCTGCGGGTCTGACGAGGGCCTCGGCTCACGGTGGGCTTTTTTAAGATAACGGGACCTCGCGGCTTTTTAACGGCCGGGGTTTCACCCCGTTAGTGTCCGTTTAACGCAGTAATGAGCGTTTTCCCTCCTCACGCCATTTAGTTCAACATTAAACACGAACGCGCAGCGCGGAACCGAAGCTGTAGCTGATGTTCGCACCGGAGTCGTGCCCGCGGGAGGACTGGGACCAGTGAACCCAGTAACACTGGACATGGACAGGGATGCTTAGCTAACTGAGGATAGCATGGGCAGTCCACTGTGCGCCCAGCAGGGGGCGCTGTGGGAGGGCCCGCAGTGATTTCCACACAAAAACACGCTAGTTCCCACAAATCCAGAATCGGTACTGTGAACTGAAACAAATCAATTGTAATGATCAATATTTTATTCACTGTGACGCTGATTCTTGCCCATAAAACACTAGCATTCGGCTAACATGTGCTGATTGGTGAGTTTTAAAATAGGAGGTCCTCTTGATGGCGTTCTTTTCCCGGTGATACCTCTTGTAGGTGTTAGCGTCGTAGTTATGTGGTTGAAGTGTTTGAAGGTGATGCTAACTGCTGCTGGCTTCATGCCCCAAATCAAAATGGAGGATGTATTAAAGTGGCTTGTGGTGCTCATAGAAAAGTACTTTACTGCATTAAAAATCCATTAAAATGTCTAAAAATACAACTTTATGTATTGTTTCAATCCTTTCTAGTAAAAACATGCTAAAGATTTCCATGAGAAAAATGTTTATGTCTCGAAATGTACATTTTTGTTCTTCAGCTCCATCGAGCTCCATTCATCCAGGATGAGCTTGAGAGTGCCCTCTATGGAGCAGGAAGAGAACAGCTGCTCTTTCATCCACCGTGCTTGCAGTTCCTCGTTAGTGACTTTAACGAGCAGAGAGAACAAAGTTTGAACTAGGGCTGCTCGATTATGGCAAAAATGATAATCACGATTATTTTCACTGAAATTGAGATCACGATTATTTGACGATATTTATTTAACCCTTTAAGACCTACCATAGAACCAAGTCCGCCAGAGCTTATATTATTTTTTTAAGTGTTGTAGTGCCATTTGTGGGAGCATTT